TTGTTTAAATTCCCTTTGCTAATATTATAAAGAAATAAAGTTTCTAACTTTGTTTCTAGGGAGTAATCTTCGCGAATATTGATCCGAACATGAAAACCCTTTCACCTACAGGTAGTACTTATCATACGCGGGTGACAAGCTATAATTTAAGCCGGCAAAATCGCGAGAAAATAGCTAGTTGCTCATAAAATTCTTTTTCCCTTCTAAATATTGAATTTTAAAATCACTATAATTACACAGATTTTGAAAAGAATTACAATTTTATTTTCTTTATCAGCTAAAAAGACGTCACGAAAGGTTGATGAAATATTTGAATAAACAATATTTTTATTTGACTCATTTGATTATCTATAAATATGTCTTCCTGTGCAAAATATAGGATTCTAATTTCACTTAAATTCAATTTTAAAAAAACTACTTTATACAACAGTTATAATAACTATAATATAAATAAATGTATCTGAAAATATTATAGCTATTTAGGTACTAATTTATGTAGGCGAATGTCTGTGAAGAGATCAGCGATAACACGTTCCGTGGATATAATGCGTTTATTCATTGATAATGGAAGAATTATAAATGCTATCCAGAACCGAAGATTTTACCGAAGACAAACTTGATATGCGAAATATACTTACATAGTTTTTAGGATAATACCATAAAAGGAAAATAAGCGAACTCGATTGTCTGTCCGTCACAGCATAAAAGTTTTGCAAACTATATGGTGTAACATATTAAATGAAAGGGGTTTGTTACATATAAAATCTTACATAAATGTAATTTTCGTATAATTTTAAAATTAAAGTTTTCACTATTAAGGTAATGTCGACTTTAAGCTCTAATGAATGTTCTTTTGACAATTTGTATCGGTAATGTCGATTTTAACTAATATAACTTACCTTTAAACTAATAACAATATTAATGGACGTTTCTACTTCCTAAATAGGTATTAAAAATAAATTATCGAATTTTATCTCCGCTTGCTAATATGAAACGTTCGAGTGTTTACGTAATGTTATATCGACAACATATTAATTACCTTTTCGTGTCTTAAAGGTAAACGAACTTATGGTGAAACTTGAACCGTAATAACCTGGGAAAAACAAAATCGTATCTTAAATAAGCTCACTCATATTGATTATGTTAATGAATATCTTGGATAAACACCTTAGGGGGCTAGCTTAGTAGGTATACAACGCCAACGATCATGTGTGTGAAGTTATCTGTCTCAGTTAAAATAGCGAATATTCAATGTCTATGTACTGAGCTTAATGATCGGATTAGTATTTCCGAAAATTGCCGCCTACAAACTTTATAATATTATTGTAGATATTGCACATTAAAAACAAATGCATATAGATATCTGATTATCTTATTGATATCTGATTTGAGGATAATTTTATCGGATATTACTTGGAACAAACAAACAGTATTTATATGGGTTTTTAATGGAGTTTGTAAAAGGTTAACGAGCTATTTATTAAAATAAAAAGGTATATTTCATATTTTTATGGATTTGTTATTTTATTAAATACTTACATTTGAAAAGTTTTTGATTCTTAGATTACCTTTTATAAATTAGGTATAAAGAATAAATATTCTGACGCAAAATTAAATTAAAAGTAAATGAAAAAGATAATTATCGCTAATAATAGAGACATAAAAATAATACGGAAATGTTAGACATTTTTTCAAATCGATATATTGCTGGCTGACAATATAATTTTTATTAGATGTGAAATTGCACAATTTGATTTTAAAAATGTTACCTATATAAAAGGTTGTAAAATGTTCGGAAAATATTTGTTAAAATAACTGTTCCGTACTCATTTGTTTTTCAAATGCTATTAATCTCATTTGTACGCTAAAACTAGCACTAAAATAAATATTTCACCAGCTCACATATTTGTTTCCCAATTATATGCATAGCCCTCATATTGAAACGGATTTGTTTTTGATAAATGGGTTCTGTTAGCTAATTATTTGGGCTTATAATTAACTTCTTGTTACGCATCAAATGTGAATTATTCGTACGATGACAATCATAAGATTTTCTAGATAATGTGCCTTTTTATATGTAAATTTTAACTATTTGTCCACGTTATTGTACAGTAACTGATATTGTGACTCGACATTGACTCTTAGCAGCGTCTCGTTTTAGTGAATTTTGTATTAAATTCTACCTATTAACATGTATATACCTGGAAATAAAATAGACGCAAAAGCATATTTTAGCACTTTGAAAAATATGTGTAATTCCGGCACCACTCTAATCTAATCCAAGACTAATATACTATTTGAGACTTGCATTTACAATGCAACCAAATCTGTTAGGTACTTCAGTTTTATTTTTTATTTGTTTTCAATTTCAAGTATTTGCTTAGATAAATGACTGTCCGAGCTTCATGCAATCGTACATACGCAAAGGACCTCTCTTAATCAGAGATTTGGACGAAGAGTTTGGAAATTGCACGGATATTTGGCATTTTGGCAATCGTGATAATAAAAACACTGAAGGCCAAAATATGATTATTACAGTTATAAAAAAGGGACAGTGATAATGTTGGTCATAAAAGACCCAAACCATTACCATGGCGTTACCGAACCATATACATACAACAAAATTATATGTAAATGGAGCAATGCTACTCTTTTGTTTATACAGATATTTATCATAAACCTTTTTTTATTGAACTTCCGTGTTATTATTCAATATTTTCGCCAGATTTCACGTTAGCTATAGTCACCATTATACTTGTTATACACTAAACTTAGTCACATACATTGAAATAAAAAACGTTACAAAAGCTCTCATTCCATCTATGGAATGTATTTAAATTTGTCTATTATTATACTATAGAAGTTAGGTAGTTGCATTTTTGACACCAAGTAATGGTCAGAATACTAATCAGCTAAAACCGAAATGCAGAAATTCGTTCGGCTTTGTGTAGAGACAAAATGCTTGTTTCGTCGGGTTCGAAAGCGATTTACTTGTTTTGTAATGCAATGTGTGCGTTCACGCATTACGTAGGTACCGCATGTTTTTTCTACAGTGTTAAGTAAAAAATATGTAGGATCATAATATTTACTTTTGACAAAGGAAATAACTCTTACATTTCGTATTTGGTCTTTGAATGAAATAATAATGAAACATATTTACATCACTTAATATACGGTCAAGTAATTACACTAATTAGTAATTTTATCAAAAAAATATGGTGCATAAATATCACTGACACTGATAGTCGAATAAGAAATTATAAAGAGATAAGATGAATATAAAAATATAAAGAGAGAGAGAGAGATACATGAAGTTTATATATTTTAGAGATCTTAATGTTCCTTGGCTCCTGTCCTATTCTACGGCAAGTTAAAGCAGAACAGACGATCAGACGACCAGACAGTTCAATATAAATATTAAAGAGAACAAAGTTTTACTCGACAAACGGCGCTCCAATTTCTTTTATTTTCTAATTTTAATATTTTTGCACTGAGAAAATATTTTTCTGTCGCTATTGCAAAACAAACACGATTGAAAAAATATGAAATTATCAAATAGTCATTTTATTTTAATACCTAAATTTTCGAGACATAAAAATCACTGAACCATACTCTATTTTCTGATTTATCCTTACCATTTTAACAAATTCGCAATGATTTTAACCACCAAACAAATATATATATTTGTATGTATATTTAAAGTGACTGATAACTAAAAACTAAAAAATATAATAAGCAAGACGATTAACAAAACTTACACAGATATTTCTTAAAAACATAAATAATAAAAAAATTATATAGGTACTTCTATAAGCATGATTCTGAAATTCCGGAATCATCAACAGTACCCAAACAAGTTGCACATTTTTTATTGAATTATTTATTAATCTTCTAAAATACATATTAAATTAAAACTACTTATCTAAACTATTTCTTAAAATAATAACTAAACTAAATTAAAAATGTCTCCCAGATCATTGCCTACAGGTAAGGTACCCAGAAGGCTGCGAGCGTTACCTCTTTGAGTAGCTAAACTAATTCTTTGGGCGAGGTACAAACCAGCCTTCTGATCACCTAACCTGTCAAAAAGTTTCTTTTTTAACTCTTGATAAAGACGATGGGCTCCAGGGCCCCACGGACTCATCGTTTTATTTAAAATCAATATTTTACATAAGTAGGTAATGAATGTTATAAAAAATATCGAGATAGATTATTATATATAGTAAAAAGACCAAATGTATAAATCTATAAATTTGAAATTTCATATTAGAAATAAGAATATAGATTCAAGACTCATACGCCACCATACATGAACTAAACGTGATATTCCACTAAATCAAAGTTCTGTTTAATATTTTAATAGGGTAAACAAAGTATGACTCCTCAAACTTATTTTTTTCTATAAATTTAATAATCTCGCGACATTCAACCGATCAATGACACAAACATGGCGAGACAATGACGAAAGTAATATTGAATATTCAAATTAATCCAAAAATATAACATACTAGTTTACATCACCGCTGTCAATAGATTTATCAATAGCTATAGATTTATTTATATAGATAGATAAATTAGGTGATTGTAAAAATAAAAATAAATAACTATAATGTATTATATTAACAAAACTAAATTATTTATTTATTTATTTAGTTTGACAGTGGATAACGGTTATGTTTTATTCTTAAAATGGTGTTTTAAATACTTTTTGAATACGTTTATATACACTTTATAAATGTATAAGTGTCGGTACTTAGTAACAAAATTTAGTCACTTGTAAATTAGTTGTAGATAGTGCAGTTAATTATGGGTACTAAAATAAAACCGCATGCGATGTCGTCGCCATCCGCCTTCTCTGCATCTCAAATAGGTTTCACTCGTATGAATAAGTCATTTAATGTGTCAACAACACCACGAAGCCAATTGGCGTACTTTGAAGTGGTATTTTCTCTATTTCCTTGATGGACGAATATGTTGTGAGTTCAGTTGGGTTATAATCGCGTGGTTTTTGTTTCAATTTACATACGCGAAAAACCCTATTCTCATACTCCAAAAGGCATATATAAAAATGTATTTTTGTGCATTAGTAGATAGAAGGTCGGGTCTAAAGAGTGGCTAGCAGGGCCTCAATTCTACTATTTTTTACGTATAATCGCAACTAAATAGAGTCTAAACTAGTTCCATTTCACCATTGTCCTGCAGTCCTATATTATTAGTGCTTCTCACGAATCAATAGTGACATATATATTTATTGAACTTGGACAGACTTGAATTTAAAGTTTTTTTCTATAAGACTCGGAAAATATTTGAATATTCATCTCATGTAAAAAACTAAAAAAAAAAAATCAAATTTTAGTGCTTGAAACGAGATTCAAACCATTATAAGTTTAAATTTTGACTATTATGTTTCAATAGTTCAATTTTGGAATAATTATTAGCTATTAATATTAGATACCTATAGGTACTTTCGATTAAAATACAACAACAATATAATTTATATTGCTTTTTATTATTACAGATGATGGTGCTAAGAAGGTCACAACTCCTACTTTTCATAGGGACAGTAATATCGATCTCAAATGCCATAGTTCCTGTGTCTACAAATGACAATGGGATCTCACAAGTGTCAAAGCGAGCGGCAAGGTACACAGGAGGATCACTATACCCAAGGACCACACTGACTAGAGACTTAAGGACTCTGAATGGAATATGGAATTTCAGAAAATCTCCACCGAATCCTTTATATGGATATTTGAACGGATGGCAAGAACAGGACCTTTCGAGGGTACGTTATCAAACTGTTTTTGTATGTTTTTATGCATGACTATACAAAGCTCGATGGCGCAAGCGCAATAGTTATTACGTTCGGTCTGCAAAAGTTAAGCAAATTTCGTAAAGGCTGGTCATAGGATGGGTGACCAAAAATTTACTATCTTGAGCTCCTCCAAGCTTCGGAAGAAAAGTTAAGTCGTCGGTCACGGGCTCACGGCTGCATATGTAGTCGTTATAGCTAATGTACACTGTGCTTACGTGGTAGGTCACGAATCGAACCGAATATTCTCCGTATTCTATTTGATTCCGTCCACAGGCAAGGCTGGATCTAGGGGCAAGTGCCCCCACTTGCAACGGGCGCAGTGTCAGAGGCCTAATATCATTATAATAAAATACCCACAGTTAAACAAGCTTCTCAAAAAAATCTTTTAAAATTCATACACATACGCTACATAGGCTACGATAGGATGGATATGTTTTCGTAGTACTAAATCAAATAATAGAAAAATACACCGCAAAAATATGTAAGTATAAAATAATGTAAAAAAAAAGAGTTGCACTAGTGATAGGGATAATTAACAGGCCCGAGTGTGGAGCACTCCCTGCCCCTGGATTCCAGGCCCTTCTCTTAAAAGTGAGGGTGCACGGAGGGCATCTAGTGGGTATGCCATCCGCGTTTTGACTAGCCTTTGGGTGGGTCCGTGAGGATAGAGAGGGCCCGTTGACTGGTGGTAGGGGACCACCGGCCAACGCGCAGGGACAATGTTAAAGCAAAAAAAAAACAATTATAAGATTGGTAATTATGTTTTAACTAACTTTCGCCAGCGGCTTCGCCCGCGTGGACCCTAAGGAAATGACAAGTAAGTTAAAAAGTATCCTATTATCTAAGTCAGCTAATACCCTATCTGTATACCAAATTTCATCAAAATCCGTTCAGTAGTTTCGGCGTGATTGACCGACAAACAACCAAACATCAAAACAAATTAATAGCATTAAGCATTTTTTGTAGATCCAAAAACGTTAAAATGACACTAGACCTTAATTAGAGAGCGTAAAACTTAATTTTGTTAATTGTTACTCATACAAAGATAAACAAAACAGTTAGAGAAAAAATAATCACACAAGGTTAGTCATTAGATTGTTAAATGTTGTTATAAAACAAAATATATTAAGTCGTAAAATTTTATATTCTATTAATATTTATTGTCTATGACCTTGAAAATAAATAATTAAGAAATCTATGAAATGACTGTTTAACCTGCCAAATATTATTTTTCTTTTATAAACCCTTTAAATATACTAATAACCTCCTTCAGTATGTTATTGCAACATTATGTATTGACTAGCTGTCATCCCGCGACTTCCCCTGCGTATACTAAACCTTACTCACGTATGATGTAGCTTTCTGTTCGTTAAAGTATTGTTATGTTCAGATTAGTATATTCGAAGATGTCCCCCTACAAGGTTAGAAATTTAAAAACAACTTTGTATACATTTGTTGGTATGGATTAAATGGTCATCACAATCACATTAGATAGATTTTCATGACTTATATTCGTATATTTTTTCGTTATATAAATACTTTTTTCTTCCTTTAGACAGGTACAGTCATTCCAATGCCCGTACCTTCATCTTACAATGACGTCGGCACGGACGTCGCATTACGAGACCACTTAGGAGTCGTGTGGTACGACAGAAGGTTCTACGTGCCTCGCTGGTGGGCTGAGAGTAAGCAGCGCGTTTGGCTGAGGTTCGGCAGCGTGCAGTACAATACGAAAGTGGTTGGTTGAAAATTTGTTTATAACACACTACAACCGCGAATTAGGGATTCCGATTTCAATTCGATTTTCTCTCGATCTTCAATCGAAGGTCTCGATCTTAAATTATTATATTGATTTCTTACCATTCAGATCGATCTAAACATGATTAAAACGAACAGATTGAAAATCGATATTTACTATTGTCAATAAAGAACATAGTACCTTTTCTTTTACTTAATAAACGATGCCATAATCACAACATAATTAGTATCGGTTTACCATTTCCTTAATGTAATAATTTGATAATACCCTTAAAATTTAGATAGAATAGTTATTTAAGATACGAGTGCGGAAAGTAAGGTTTTACGAATAAAGACCAAATTGAAAATACGAGCGTAGCGAGGGTTTTCATTGGCACGAATTCGAAAAACCTTTTACGCTCAAGTTTCTTACAACATTTTTCAATGCTTTTTGCGAGGAAATAAAACATATATATAGGTTAATAAAACTAAGTATGTATTAAAGGTAAAAATTATTTGTTAAAATTAAACGTGATATTTGAACATGTTTTCGTGTCATACATTTTTATTTGAAAATATTCGTTCTAGGCTCCTTGAAATACTTTTGCCTCTAAATTTTGATATATTTTCAACTTCTTTGGTGCTCGGAAAAAAAATATTTAAAAAATACTTTTAAGCACGTGTGCAGTAAAGGATTTCAGTTCATTTTTATTTAACACGTGTTTAAAGACTCACTTTCGGTGTTTACAATGGATTAAAAAAATAGCGCTTTATGAGCAACTGCATTGAAAAAGTTTTTAGAAAGTTAATAGAAAGATAGATCGATCTTTTTGTCTCAAGTTTTTCCGAATCGATCTTAAACGCTCCGATTTGAATCGATTCGTAAGATCGACTCTTTTTCTAATTATCAGAAATCCTATTCCGAATACTTCGGCGTAAATTATAGCATATGTCACCAGCGTATAATGTATCTTCTCCTTTCAACCTTTTGTATGTCCGATAAAGCCGATGTCCGTTTCTCCCAACTTTTGGTTTCCACCGCAGTGGCATTCAAAATGAGCTTTTTCTCGGGTTCGAACGGCGCCGATTCAAAGGGCATCGATCTCACAACAGATGTGCCCCAGTCACTCATATCTGTCGCTACGCAATTACTTGGTTGTGATAAAGCAATTGAAAAAGTAGCTATCGTGAATTCGCAATCGTGTGTATACTCATGCGATGTGAAAAGAGGACACTGACACCTTATTCTAAAGTAATTTTAATACGTAATTCACATAAGATGCACATAATAACGCACGTTTGTTAAATAAGCATACATTATAATTCAATAATTTTTAAGGTACCTGATAAAACTAACTGCTCAATGAAAATTGCAAGAAATAGGTTTATTTAACATTAACAATGTTTCTTTTTTGTATAAAAAAACTACCTATCTTGTAATAAAAAATGCTTAAAAATACCACCAACCCCAGGAACCCCGTAATAGGATTCAAACCCACAATTTTTTGCAATCCAGGTGTCTGCTCTTACCATTTATCTACCCGAGACCCAACAGAGCTGACGAATTTATTACTTTTCGCTGCTAGTGAGCATATTTTTATTGTACAAAGTACATTGTACATTCAATGTACATTGAAACAAATGCAACTGCATCTTGTCAACAATATTGCGACAAGGGCCAAGAAATACTGACCTCTTCCGATTACTCAATATTTGCACAAAAGTTCAATAACGTAACATAAGTTCAGTATGTATAAGCGATGTTAGTTAATCTTATAACATACCTATACAATTTAATTACACAAATAAAATAACCAAAGAAATTATTAACACACACAAAATCGCTCATACATTTGTGCTTAAATAATAATAATTACAATAATGAGTTATTGACAACTCTACTCTATATGACAAAATTCTCTTATATTATTTGGCTGGCACATAGATGGCTAATAGAATTGTAGTAATTTCTCTATTACATACAAGATTCTTAAATTTAATTAGGGGTCATGTCAGTCTCCTACAAACTATGATTAGCATAATCATTAGTCATATATCATAGCACACTGTTCAAGTCAAAAAATTATGGAAAACATATGTCATTATCATTAAATCATTATCTATTTGATTTTATACGTAATTTTTTATATCCTTTTGAGTTGAAGCTGCAAGCATATTAAGTGTATTAAAAATTAAAATACAACTTTTACCTTTAGAAATATGTTATATAGCAATCAAAATGAAGTGGGTTCAGATATAAGATATAAGTAGTAAGTACCTACTGTTTATATCTGAAGCCACTTCATTGAATTAAATTCTCATAAAATTGTCATATAACTAACCTCTTATCTTTAATATAAATTAGGTCAAGCAAGCAATTTCATAATAAGAAACGTACACGAGTGATAAGAATAACTATTGAGTAATTATTAAAACACGTGAGACGACACAATGAATTTATTGTAGGCGAAAGTAAAGCCAATGTAATTTATGTATATAGCTATTACCTAATTTATTTAGTGGAACAATCTGAAAGTTACACACTCAGTCATACGTTTCAGAGGCATACATAGAATAACACAACCTGTAGAGAAAATTATATCCTACTTATGATATTTTTTAAAGGATATATAAATTTGGACAATTAATTATAAAAAATGGAATTTTATAAATTTAATCAGCTACACCACAGTTGAAAGAACAACTATTTTTAAATTTAAAATTTTTTTGGTTATTTCTTACAACTTAATTTATTACATTCAATCACTGTTACTTAAAATAATATGAAAGGGTAGTCGAACTTTTAGTTGTTAATTTTTCATCCAAATTTAATAAAATATTGATGGCTAATAATACTTCCCACAGGCATACACACCTCCATGGTTCAAAAATGGCTCGACTTGTTTTAGTGGCACTATCGGAAGCTGTCTTCGACTTCTGAGTTGAATATACACAACGATGCGCTTATTTGCCCGATATAAAATTGAGCTAATATTTAATTCGTGTAAGTTTCGCAGACGTAGATTAGATTTCTAGGGTTAAGAAAGTATCATCTGTTTTAACGTCTGTGGTTTTAACCATACCTACGAGTACCTAGGATCTTCAATTGTCTAGAATTCTACAACTTCTACTCGACGTCTAGTTCTTTAACATAAAGAAGCGTCTGTACCTTATTCTATTTTATTTCAGTTCGTAAATAGCAAAGAGGTCATCTCTCACGAAATTGGACATCTGCCCTTCGAAGTAGAGATCACCGATTACGTGAGCTACAACTGTAGCAACCTGCTGACGGTTGTGGTAGATAATACGCTCACCAGAAACACTATTCCACAAGAAAATGGGTAAGAAGCGAACCATTTGGACAACGCATATTTATTACGATATGTGATAAAGCCTTAGTTACAATGTTTATTAGAAAATGAAGCTAACAATGAATCAAAGACAATATTTTGAGTTCTGTATCTTTGAAAGAAATAACGCAATACAACGTCACTCAAACGTGAGTCTGTCTGTTCGTTTGTCATTGCGGCACTGATCGAGTTGGGTACACATATAAGTCGGGCACAAAAATGAACTTATAACGTAATTTAATCAATAGACATAGGAGTTATTTCTGGGGACTTGAAAATAAAAGGCTTTGTGAATATTTGTATTTTAACAAATTACAATTAGGTATACGAAAAAACGCAGTTTAGAAGTCATTATTAAGATACCAGTCCCAAATTAGCAATATTATAAAAATAGTACCTAGGTAATTTTTCACTTACAAATTACACGAAGTCCTATGAAGTTTTTTATTTTCTATTTAATATTTTGGAACGCTCCGTGCGAGTCCGATTCGATCGCTCTTAACTATTTTTTAATATTATTTACTTTTGTTTTAGGTACGATTTCTTTAATTACGCCGGCATTCACCGACCAGTATACATCTATTCTACTCCTCAAGTATATATTGAAGATATTATCACCCAAACTGACGTCCAGGGTTATACAGGTAGGAGAATGTGTTCACTTCCCTTGTTCAAAAAATCCGTCATTTTAGCGTATCAAAGCTTTTCCTGTCCTAGTGTTTCCTCTAGTTTTGTACTTAACTTAAATCTTAAAAGCCGAAATACTTACTGATGACTAAAAACTCCACTTATTACTCTTCCTTAAAAGAAATCATATTTTTTAAATAAATCGACAAGGTACTCTTTAGCTAATGGTGAGGACACACTAACAGGAAATGCCGTTATGCCTTTTCTCCCGCCATTAGGACATTTCTAGCCCCACTATAGAGAAAAAAAGCACTGCCGCAAAGAATCACGTCCACTTTCCATTCATTGGTTGACTTGTCACTTTTTTTTTAAAGGTCGAGTCTACCCACATTTTTGTAAATTTAAATTAGTTTGTGCTTCAAATATAATAGCATATTTTTATTTGGTGACCAGGAAAATTCGTAATTTGTAAATAATGTTTTGAAGTCATAAGAGCTGTCAAAACGCGAGATATTGTTAAACTACTTTAATAATAATGTATTAAAATAAAAACTTTTTATAGTTTGACTGGTAAATATGGAAATAAATAAAAAATTTAATTATGAATGTGCTCTTTTTAATATTATGAAGAAAGAATATTTTTCCGTAGTAGATGAAACAAACATAGCAAACCGTTATTGGGTCCGAATCCCATTGGGGCAGTACAGCAAACCGTCACTTTAGGGTCCGAATCGGATTCGGGTAGTTATCATAGTACTATTTCAAATTAATTATAGACCTCACATTTTTATCCTGACTTTATTTTAAGATTTAATTTACTTAAATTAAATAAGTACAAAATAAGCTACATTTTGAGATATATCTCATCACTAGACGCGTTAGTAAATTTCTAGCTCAAAAATGGACATGATTCTTATATGAATTTTCTCTAATTACAAATTCAACTGATAACTGATTGATTTAAAAACCTAACGGTTACTGTTTACTCTCTACTATATTTCGGTGGTCAAAGTACCTCATTTTGGATTATTTTAGCCCCTTGTATGACAACCTAATATTTTCCATATCCACGTTACCTAGAAGTGCTTAAATACATCGGCGATACTTAACATTTCAGGGCTTGTTACATACAACATTACATATAAGGGAACCACAGAAGACGTAGGTTGCCTTGTGGAAATCTTCGACATGAACGATACAAAGGTTGGCGCCTTGCAAGCCTGCACCGGCCTTATCGACATCGCTAATGCCAACCTCTGGTGGCCATACCTAATGCACACAAACCCTGGATACTTATATACACTAAAGGTATTTACAGTTCCCCACTTGGCTAATTTAGAGGTGAAACTACATTCCTCTAACATTGTTTTGCTAGAACCATAATTGGATCACTAATTATTCGACCAATTCTCAAAATCATCTTCAATAACATTAGTTACTTGAATGACTTTTTCTTTCCTTAGAATAGACATTTCCTAATCTGCACAGAACTAGTTTATTTTGATTTAATTTTAAAATTCTCGTTTATAGGTAACTTTGATAGGAAGTGACGGAGAACTAATAGACACATATAGCGAAAAGATCGGAATAAGAGTAATCAACTGGACCAAAACTGCTTTGTATATGAACAATCAACCATTATACCTACGAGGATTTGGCATGCACGAGGATTCTGACGTAAGCACACTTGACTTTAGATCTTTTATAGTAGTCCAATGAAAATTAGAAAGAGTACTCCGGGATTCGGATAGCAAATTTTTATCTATAAAATTGTTCCACGTTTCAATGCCTCTTTAGCAATCCTGATATTTACTGTTTGGTATTTCTATAGTTTCGCGGCAAAGGCTGGGATCCAGTACTGTGGGTCAGGAATTTCAATCTGATAAAATGGGTGGGTGCTAATGCTTTCCGTACATCGCACTACCCATATGCCGAAGAAATCTACCAGCTAGCTGACGAGCAGGGCATTATGATAATTGACGAATGCCCCAGCGTTAATGCTAAGTAAGTTGATCTATCAAGAAAGTGGATACTTTAGATTGTACAAAATTAAACTTCGAGAAAAATACTAATTTTATATAATTAGCACCGTAAATTCCAAAAAAATATTCCTATTGATTCCGACGATGACCAAACACGAACCTTGAAACATTCTTATTGGCCAGGATTTACTTCGCTTTAAAATTTATTCTTCTATGCAAGTACATCGATGAACCACATTAGTTATATTTTACCGTATGTATTATAATTCTATTTGATGTGCAGACGGCAGATCGTCAGGTTTTACAAAATTGACAAATGTTTCCATATAATTTTAAACCTTAATACATAAGTGTAAATTTCAAAATCAATTGCAGAAATTTGGTATATTATGGCATCCTGACTTGCAGCCATGTGTACTTTTTTAATTAGATTTGCTTAATATATTTCTATTTTAGTATAGACTCGATGACATTGAATGTCCACTTAATACCAAAATACTTTTTACACAATTATCTGATTATTATTTCAGCTTTTACACAGAAGAGTTGTTAGCTAAACATAAGCAGTCGCTAACTGAAATGATCAGACGCGACCGTAACCATCCGAGTGTAATCATGTGGTCTGTTGCCAACGAACCTCAGGCTTGTGGCACCGACAAGATGTGCCATATCTACTACAGGTATTATTCCCTTCACAGAGCCATTCGCTTGAACATGAGCCAAACTTGATAAACCTAACTAGTCGTAAACTTTACTGATTCAAACTTCCCGAAATCTAAAATTAAGTGTAAAAGCTTAAGAATTATAATATTAAACTAAATATAGGTAATCTATAATAAATTCTTCATACTATGGTCAATGAATAGTATTTGTTTTCTTTTTTAGCAAAATTGTGAAGCACGTCAAAGACATGGATCTTTCAAGAGCCGTCACCTTTGCACTTTCAGATCCAAAGGACGTCATTGTGAGTTAAACATTATTTACTTATCTTTTTTCGGGATTTTGTCTATAACACATGGCAACCTTATCGAACCAAACCAAAAACTTTAATGTGATATCTAGTGGTTGCATAAATCAGTGATAGTGTGTACGCTTTCATCAAACCACACAAAGTCAGGATTATCTTAAAACTAGGCTTACTTAGAATGCAAAAAGGCAAAAGTCAAAATAATCTTTATTCAAATAGACTTCTTAAAAGTACTTTTGAATCGTCCAACATTTTTCCCTACCACTCGTTCAGCAAGTCTTGGCTGATAAGAAGAACGAGCAAGAAACTCACCAGCTCTAACATAAGTAATGACATTTACAAAACTCATGCCATTAACAAATCAATATTCACAATATAAATTAATTATAGGTATGTCAGCAACAACTGATTTTATTAGATTAAATAATGCTTAGTTCCAATTAGCTTAGGTAGAAAAAAATATTTCTCATCAATGCGATTTACAATTTGCTAATGCAAATACTTTAGGGTGAGCACATGGACATCATCAGCTTCAACCGCTACAATGGCTGGTACGCTGACGTCGGTTCCATCAGTCAAATCGCCTCGAAGGTCTACAACGAGAGCTTCAACTGGCACCACAAGTATAACAAACCTGTACTGATGTCCGAATATGGAGCCGACACTATACCTGGAATGCACACTGTAAGTTTTTGAATGACGCTCCCGAAAATATTTCTGGAAAATATCAGTAAAAGTTATAAGCTTTGAATTTTAGTAGCCAGTAATCGTTGAAGGTCCTAGCCACTATCGAATATTCAATATCGGAAATATGACGCTTAGACGAAATTGTTAATTTTAACTCAGATTTTGCTTCAGATAAAATTTTTAACCGAGAAAAAAAATTATAAGAGATATCATTTGTATAGAATTCCACTAACAAACTTACTGTAACTGTAAACAATTATCAATAACTAATTCAAATTAGTAAAATTCAGCAGTCCAATATTTTAGTTTTTCTATTCCTTTGGTTTGCATAATTTTACATGAGAAATGAGTAAACAGTCAATAGTAATAAGACTTAAATTACTTTAAAATTCATAACAGAAGATCTACTCATATTGTTTTCACAACAATGAACTATTTGTGTTTCATTGCTTCAGTTACCAGAATACGTATTTTCTGAAGAGTACCAGGTAGCATTGATATCGGAACACTTCAAGGCCTTTGACAAGATGAGACAAGCGGGCTTCTTCATAGGCGAGTTCATCTGGAACTTTGCCGATTTCGCAACCAAACAAGGTACATTACACTTCGTCGATTCATCCGTTCAGATCAGCTAGCACTGGTTTAGTACCGAATGCTGTTTTCCGTTGAGATATCCCCGAAACAAAATAAATTTAAACATAAATCTTGATTTAACAGAATATAGATGATGACTGGGTTTAAAAAAATCTATCTAGTTTTTCAGTCAGATAATAGAGAAATATTTTTTATGCTTCAAATTAGACACGTATTTCTTATGCTTCAAATTTAATAAGGACTGGCTTAGATAATAGGCATTAAAGTTGAGGAATGAGAGCACGCTGCGTCACAGTTTTGTAGAAAATGTACAAAAGCGTGACGACATACGACATTTGAAGTCAACGTATCGGCCTAATTTATTGATTACACAAATAATAAAAAAATATGTCTTTAATATTCTTCAGTAATCTATCTGGCAGGACAAACAAAAAAAAGTTGTCGTCATACAAGTTTACCTCCTATGATACATATAAACATTCCCGTGTATTGATCAGAGCTTTGATCAATAGCAAAATTACACATAAATGTTTATTTGGATTAAGATTCGGTATTTTTACCCATTACCTCTAATATTGATTATCCGTCTGATCATAATGGAACTCAAAATACTAGTTATCAGTCTAGCGGGAACATAATATAAAACTATATACTTTCCCCACTGGAGTTTTACAGCACAAGATCACATATCGCTAGATCCAGGGAAGTGTTAGTAATACTCTAACAGTGTTATTAATAAACAAGGTTTAGCGTTGGAGTAATTTTACACTGAGACTGCAAATTCATATTATTAATCAGAGACTTGGGTTAACCTAGTACGAGGTTCTACGGGAATAATATTTACTCCTAGAAGGTAATAGGTTTGCAATTTTGGTGTTAGTCCAAATTCATATTATTTGGTTATAATATGAATTTGGACTAACACCAAAATTGCAATTTTAGCGTAATTTTACTCTGACGCTAAACTTTGATCCATCCATTCCAGGTATATATAGAGTGGGTGGTAATAAAAAGGGTATCTTCACCCGTTCGAGACAACCGAAGGCGAGTGCTCACCACATACGAGCGAGGTACTTATCTCTAGCGGCCGCCGATGCAGGCGTGTCTCCTCCACCACCGCAGTATTACGTAGCTGACAACAAACCAGCGAGACATACAGAACTGTAGCCCATACTATCTGCGTACAAGTCTGGTGCATATATTTTCATTGGTGACGCGATAGTGACGCTTGTTACTCTGTGGCATTTAGAAAGTGTAACCGGACTTTAGCATTAATTTGGCGTTTTCACATGCTAGGATAGATTTTTGTGCAGGATAATAATAAAAAAATGCAAACGCCTACAAAAGTGGATGACCAAGATGCGCCATTTGCTGCTGTGCCATTTAAAAGTGCTACGTGACTTTCAGTAAATATTACTGATTATGAATTTCTCATATTTAGTATGCCTACGTCAGCTGATAATTAGACAAGAGGTAAAAAGCGGTATGCAAGTTATACTATCCCAGATAGCAATTCAAACTTGGTAACTTGCAGCAAGTTTAAATCAAACTTGCTAATTTCAGTGTGACAAACTTGCACTACCTTTGATACGGTAATAATGATAATTTTCCTAGGTAGTCATGATATTTTCCGACTTGAATAATTCCAAAATGATTGCGATAGACTTTTAAATTAGAAAATAGCGATGATGACTGGGTTAAGAATCAAAGAAAATCAAACTTGCCCCAAGTATCATTACTACCGTATCAAAGGTTGCCTTGTTATCTGGCATGATACCTACGCACAATTTGTTCTGGCACGCCACGGCAGAAGTTGGTAGCCGGACATCAAGGTCAATTGCAAATGTACCTTCTGTAGTAATACATAAATAAATCGCTACTTGTGATATACGTAATTCTTCGGAATATATTTGCAGCGCCACACGATAGAAAATTATTTAAAAAATATATGTTTTGATTTTTCTAGGCAGGTTACCAGAGTTTCTAACAACCCACCTACCCATTATTACCTATTTTAGAGCTTTAATCCGCTTTAATCCTAGCAATGTGATTAAAGTGGGTTAGCTTTTTCGAATCTGTATTAACGATTAAAAAAATACTAAACTTAAATCATAGAAAGTTCGGTTACTTTTTTAGTAAACGCACGAAAAATTTTCTGTACTGCAGAGCGATTCGATAACCTAAATGAGTTCGTGTTTGCTTTCGGAATTTTACAGAATCGCAGGGCTGACGTTGGTGTTCGTCAAATTCCTCTACATTAGAATGCGCTTTTTCTTACATAACCAATATTTTATTTTTGTTTTTATTGGTAATGTAAAAAATAGGGCTTATTCGACTTTTATTACTAGGGATTATTTTTCTAAATTCATTTATTTTTTATTTTGCATTCAGAGGAATTTGATGGATATGGGTAAAAACCCATCAATACTGATATGTAAAAATCATCTATCTAAGTAGGTTTTGAACTTAAACATACTTATTGTTAAACTGCCAGGTCAAATAATGTTAAATATACATATTTAAGTTTAATAGTGATGATTAAACAATAGGTCAAGTTCTTAAAAAAGAATATTAGTTAAAACTTAGAATTAATACTAACACATAAGTACAATTTTATTGAAAATTAAATATCTTACAACTGTTAAATGTTGTGCTTATTTATCTTTGTCACACATTTTTTTATTACAGAACTATGTATCAATAAAAACAGAGTGGGTACCTTTTGCTCCCATAAGAGGTAGTAGAAGCTACGCTACTTATAAGATTTGCCTCGTAGAGCCTAGGACATTGATTTGATTGCTATAATTTTATTAATAACCTGCAGAAAACCTCCTCCAACTTTAAAGTAGTTTCATGAATAAGTCGCTTTTAGAATACATTATTATTACACGTTTTTTATAGTTAAATATACGAGGGTGGACTGAAAAGTTCGCGGCTTCAGAATGAAAACAATATAAAATATAAGCAAAAATAATTTTATTTTTCCACGTAATCTCCACTTAACTCTATGCACTTCTTCCATCTAATTTCCAATGCCTGTATGCCCGTCATAAAAAAAGTTTCTTCAAGGTCTTCAAAAAAGTCACCCAACGCAGCTTCGACCTCCTCATTGATGAAAATTTTTGACCTGCAAGTTGTTTTTTTAGGTTTGGGACTAAATTAAAGTTTGAAGGTGCCAAATCAGGGGAAAAGACGGGATGGGGCAGTAATTCAAAGCCACGATCAAGAATTTGAGTCATAGATGTGAGAACGCATGCATTATCCTGATGGAACAACACTTTCTTGCTGAGTAATTCTGGCCTATTCTTTTTGATTGTTTCGCGCAAGCGACGTAAGAGGGTACAGTAATAAGCCGAGTTTATAGTTTCACCTTTTGAAAGGTGATACCCTTAGCATCCCAAAAAACTGACGCCATCACCTCGCTAGCTGACAAAATTGTTTTTGTTTTTTTGGAGTCGGTTCATCGCGTTTTTTCCACTGCTTGGATTGCTGTTTTGTCTGTGGGGTGTAGTGATTTCCCAACCAAGTTTGATCCAATGTTACAAATCTGGATAAAAAATCTTGTGGATCAGCCTCAAAAATTTCCAAACGTTCAGACGTATTCGTTTTTGTTCGACAGAAAGCAATCTGGGAACCCACCGCGCAGAAACCTTAGAAAATCCAAGTTTATTGACTATGATTACGAGATGAGAATAGTGTCTGCAATCTCCCTGATGGTCTATCTCCGATCTGTCAATATCAGATCACAGATTTTCTCGATGTTTTTTTCAGTCGTAGACGTCATAGGCCGGCCAGAGCGAGGGTCATCTTCAATACTCTCTCGTCCGCGTTCAAAATCCAGTAACCCATTTTTTCACAGTCGTATACGACGGAGCAGATTCCCCCAATGTTGAATCATAAGTCTCTTTTGGAGTTTGTTTTTTTTTAAACAGGTACTTGATGATCGCACTTTGCACGCAAACCTAAAAAAACACCTTGTAGGTCAAAAATTTTCATCAAATGAGGAGGTCGAAGTTGCGGTGGGTGACTTTTTTGAAGGCCTTGAAGAAACTTTTTTTATAAACGGCATACAAGCGTTGGAAACCAGATGGAAGAAGTGTACAGAGTTAAGTGGAGATTACGTGGAAAAATAAAAATACTTTTGCTTATATTTTATATTGTTATCTTGTTGAGGCCGCGAACTTTTCAATCCACCCTCGTACATATATACGAGTATATATCATGATCCGAAACTATTATTCGACCGATTATAACATTTTTTCATCTACGGAAAGCTGTAAAAATACAAATTTACGCAAGCGAAGCGCCGCGAAATAACTAGTTTAATAGAAATTGGCTCACAATTCAAGAAGAAATCCATGAACATACCTTCTTACATAAAAAAATATGTATATTTACCCGTTGAATATCAAAAATCCTCTTTTAGGATTTTTAATGAAATTAAAATACGTACTAATATAAAATCAGCAAAAAAATAAGCAGCAAAGCTTCAACCCAAACGACTAGCATTTGTTTAATGACTCGTCAAAACGAAGTCTGCTATGTGTGCTCTTATATAACGGTAATCAATTAAGTTATTTGCCTATTGCATATTTAACGTGTGAACTCACTGTAATTGATAACAATAAAGTAAAAAATATATATTTTTACTAAAACTTTATTATTAAATATTTTGGAAAGAAGAGCTGCTAGGAAAAAACGGCTTCTACATTTGAAATTAGGGTATGTAGTTTAATATGTAATATCTATGTAGTTTAACAATTACGCATAAAATCCTATGAAACAGAACCTGTGGTTACCAATGTAATAAATCAATAGTTTTTTATTTATATCACATCAAATTATTTTACATAAACTAGGAATTTACTAAAATATGTAAACAAAATTTTCTGTTATGAAATGATATGGCCGAGATATTTTGAATATTATTTTTAATATATGAGACCTCCTTATGCTAAGGCTTCGTACTCATGGCTCGATGCCGAATGAACCGTCGATTTAAATTAGGAAGTATTTAAAAAAATAAAGAAACTACAAAATTTTGTCACTAGATGGCAGCACGAATTTTTGGATCTAAACATCAATTCATGACGTTAAACTAAAAAGAATAGAATTGTCAGTGTTGTTATGGATCTGATAACTCGAATTAATATCGAGTTGAAATTTAATTAGTTAGAGTTGTGCAAACGCAACTCGATTATTACAAAGTAATCTTTGAATAAATTTATTTTTTATTTGTATAGAGGAAAATGGAAACTAACGTAATGGAAGTAAGCACAGAGGTTTTTTTAAAAAAAATTAAGGTTATCAATTGAATTGATGCTGTGGTATAATTAAATGTGGCATTAAGCTACGGTTTAAAAAAATATTCCGCCAAATAGTTTTATAAATAAAAAACTTATGCCATAGTAGGTCTGCAAATTTTTCATTATAATATTTAATAAAAGTTCTGAAAACAATAACAACTAGGTAAGTTAGTTTTATTGCTATTAGTTGTTTGTTGAACTTACAACAACAAAACTACATCAAATCTCAATAATATTTTTATATTATGTATGGTGAATAAATGAAGAGGGTATATTAATCAGCAACAAAAGTCATAAAAACGATAATTATAATAAAAAATCCGATATGTATCAAATATACTAGGTATTTGTAGAAAATAACATGACTTCCGGCTAATATGCCATTTGTGCAAATAACTTGTTATATTCATAATTAAATCATCTTAATAAACATTCAGCAATCAACAAGAAACGTCTGTTCTAAACGAACAGCAAGGTTATAACTTTAAATTTCAAAATCACAAAGACACGTACAGTTATTATACTATTGCTACTGATCTTGCATGTCGACGGACGTCGAGCTATGTGTTAAGTTAATTCGTACGGTGGGTATGTGCTTTTTGGTTCTTACAATAATATTGTTAATGATAGATTGACTTCCTACACAACCTACTCTAGAAAGCAGTTTTATCGAAATATATTATTTACTAAGTACCTAGAGTAGTCATGCTCTCTTAAAATCTCTGCGGTGGTGTAGTGTACGTTAGGTCGTTACGTTCCCTCAAATATAGTATAGTTGAGTTGTAAAGTTAAAATTAAAAAAGCAGCCCTTGCTGAATTTCTTGCCGATTCTTGTCAGTAGAAGATCTTCCGCCTTAGTTTATCGAACCATTGGCAAAGTTTTCGAATCTCACAAAGACTATGTAACAGCCTATACTAAATTGATTTTGATATTTATATTAATATCATTCGTTTTGTGGATGCATAATGACACATACAAATACAAGCTGAATACTGCGCTCCGCTTTTGTTCTTAATTCCAAACCTGAATTCGGATGAAAGTTACGAGCAACCAATAAGTTGGCTCATCACTAATGTTGACGTATCAACCAAACACACGGAACACGTAACATAATAAACAACTTAATCTTACGATTAAAATAAATTAAAATTAGTTTGAAAGTTAGGTATTATAAGAAACACAAAACGATGTCATATTTATTAATTTTCGATACTCAATTTAAAAAAATGCAAAAATATATTATAATCGGCACCATGCAAAAATATAAGTTTGACTGATGCTAAATATTTTCATGACGCTTTTTATGCTAATAAATCAAAAGAAGGTCATAGATGCTTTTCTTTTAAAATATTGTGAAGTAGCTGATTACCTTTATTACGACAGAAACAAAATTTGCATGAATATCACAAACAAAATCCAAAACTCGGGGGTGACATCTAGTATGATTTTAAGTACTAATTTTTATTTTTTAAATACTTCCTCATTCACTCGTGTGTCCGAATTCAAGTCATTTAGTGTAGATTCCATTTTTTGTATAAAAATACAAAACAAAATTAATTAAATATACGTGTTTCCCTTGTTACGAAACGTTTTAACCAATTTAATGTTGAGGGGATGCCACTCTTTGAAGTAAATTCGGACACCTGAGTGAATTCTAATTCGGGTTTGGATTTTTATAAAATCGCTGGGCTGGTCTAAGTAACCAATTGCTTAGATGAAAAATGTTTAATAGTGTCCTCATCCAACTAACCAAACACACGCCAAAAGACTAAAAAAGATAAAAATCTAGAGCCATAAAACACAATAAAAAATACTAAGCCAAGAAACGGTCATATGCTGGCTGACACGCAAATGATCAAGCTAATCATTTGTTAACGTCCTCTCAACCAATACGCATATTAACTTGAACGAAACATTGGATAATCTTAACTGTAAAATTTTATTTTAACTTAATATTATTTCTTTTTTTTATTAAACCAGTCTTTCTATATATTGATATTTTTCGAAATCAAATGTAACTGATATACATCGATTAACCGATTTATGGTTGTATTGAGAATCGATTTTTAATATGAAATAGTATATTAAAGACTGCTGGAAAATGAATAATATGAATTTATTTTCGTTAACTGTTTACACCCAAATTGTTGTTTGAAAAATGAAGTTTCACCAACGAATAATGAATGACATAAATATGAACCAAATGTCAGTAAAACAGTACAGTTTGTAGACTCCATCTAGTAAAATGAATGAATGTTTGAATATATAAATCAACTAGACTTTTTCAACAACTCAGAAGGAATGCCATCATAAATGCACAGATTGCGTTAATGTAATATTATAGATATAGTATTCTTTGACAGTTCGCGTTCCGGACTCCAAGCTAAAAGACCAAACTTATGTCAGGGTTACAGATGATAAATCGGCAATATTTAATAAAATATATCGATTTTTAGTCGATTATTTTTACAACCCTAAGTCAATGTCAAAACATGTGAGTTAATATTTGCACATCATAGTTGCACATATTATTACTAATCTGTGATATTTGCATGGTGTTTTCTTACTGTATTGCTGTGTATCACTCGCTGTGTATATTTGAGCTAAGAGTAGAGCGTGTTTGTATTTGTAAATATTATGTGTGTATGACCATTATGTGTTAAAGTAACGATAATCAAAATGTATAACTGCGTACTCTGTAACGAACCTTCTAAATACAAATGTCCTGTGTGCCGAAAACCATAGTAAGTTGAATAAAATATCATCAGAAAATGTTTACGCTTCACAGCCAGTTTAAATGAAACTCAAAAAAAATAATATTACGTGTGCTATTAGGTAGTCAGCTATACAGTCATGACAACCATAAAATCTCTTATCTTTGTTGCTAATATTAAAATGACCACCAGTATCAAAGCTTATTTGATGACTTATATATATGACTTAAAGGTTATATATCTAATTTGCCAACAGAACCATATTATAATGCATCTGCTGTATTTCAAGAGTTTTATCTTAACTACATTCTACTCTAAATGTTTACAAGTGATGTGTCATTTAAGTCTTGCTTAAGAGAAATTGTAAATTAAATATCAATAAATTATTTTAAAAATATGTATACATTTCAGTTTTTGTATATAATGTTAAGTATATATAAGCTTATGTTTCAACTTTTCAGTTGCTCAGTAGCTTGCTGCAAACTTCACAGAGCAAATCCATGCACTGCACCTGATGTATCAACAATAGAGTCTCCTAAGAAACAAAATATAGATTATGAATTTCCTACTGAAGATACTGTACCTATTGAGAAACTAGAACTCTTAAGTGAGTTTACAATTTTGTTGACAAATATTCTTTCCATATTTGATTTCTGTAATTGTATGTGTTTATAACAACAATTGGACATAGTTTATCAAAAAGGATCTACTTTTGAGATATAGACGATTGAAGTTTGTTGGTGTAACATTTTTGTGTATTATATTTTTATCTGAAACGCCAAAATTTTATTGTAAAAATTATTTATGAAAGGCTCTATATTTATTGTTTTAATTTTTAATGTTAAATGTATTTTCACTATCTAAAATTACCTTCCTACACCTTTTAATAAAATTACCTTTTAACAATAATGATTCAAGGGTTTTGAACCTTTATTGTGATTTTTAATCGAGACTAGTGCCTTTAATTTGCTATTTTACTATATGCATCCAAGAAGCTTGAGTTGTTTTCATGGAACTAAAATATGAACCTACCAAAAATGCAGGCCAGAGGTTTCTTCCCATATGAAAGTATAGATCCTGATGGGCATTTTGGTATACTTAACTAATTGTCGACCAATTTGTGGGTTGGATCCTTTTTGAGTAATTATGTCCAATTGTAATAAAATAAAAAAGTTAATTCCAGCAAAAACAATTATTGCAGATTATTTAAATATTAATATATTATTATTGGCGTATTGTCGCCAATCGCCGCTTTAATTAATGTACTAAATTTACTGGTTGACTGGTAGAGAATGCCTCTTTGGCATTAAGTCCGCCATTTGTCTATTTCACTAGGCAATTAAGATTAAATAAATAAATAAATATATATAGATTATAATTAATATTTAAATTTTTCTGATTTTATATTAATTATGTTTTAATTATAATTGATTGTCCCATATTACTTAAAAAAAATATTTATTTTCAGGTAAATCTGTTGATGTAAAGAAATGCTTAGAAAATCCTCATGTGAGAGATATATTGAAAGAATTAGATAAATCTGCATATCCAGATGACTTAATGCAAGAATATATGCTAGAGCCAATATTTACAGAATTCGTTGATGCCTGCTTGAGTGTTGTACAACCACCTGAAAATGATAAACAGTGATAATATTTATTAATTTACAAATTATTATATCTAAGAAGGAAAATAATGAGAAATATTACATACCATTTGAAAAATATAGATGAAAAATAGTGTCAGCAGTCTAGCACTGCCATTCTATTTGATTTTAAATAAATTATTGATCCAACTGGTCCCTTATTTATCAATCCATTATGAAATAAAGAGAAATAGCCAAATTATGTAGTTTAAGAGATAAATGAAAATCTTTATGAGAAACTTTCCAGGTCATCCTTTAATAACTTATTTGTCAGCCTTAATGATTTTCAGCCTAACTAATTTTTGTTTTAAATACTTCCTCATTCTAATTCAGTTTTGGATTTTTACAGAATCACAGGGCAATTAACCTTACATTGGTAAAAACATTTTGTGGCATAAGTGAAGTGAATTTCGAAATGCATAGTGATAGAATATCTGAGACACGTATACATAATCAATCGATTTGTTTTGTATTTTATACAAAACTAGCTTTCCGCCAGCGGCTTCGCCCGCATGGTCTCGTATTATACATAAAAAATTTCCTTTTGAATCACCCTATCTATGCAAAAAAACCGCATCGGAATCCGTTACGTTTTGAAGATTTAACCACATAGGGATATAGGGCGCTTGTGCACTACACTGAATTTTCAGGTCCGGCGGTCCGATTTTTTCCGGTCCGGAATGACATGAAAAACCCGGATGAGTAGCTTGTGCACTTGTCCGTTTTTTTCCTGATCGGAGCGGCGCAGTGTAGGGCAGCTCTCTTTGAAGCTACACGTCACTTACGCTAGGTACGATGAGATTTTTGAAACTTCGTTAATTGCGTTCGAAGACGTAGAAAGGTGCCTAAATAATGACCTGATCATTTTACATAAACCATAATAAATTGAGACAAAACGAAAGCATTTTTTTTACTACAATCGGATGACTACTATCAAATGTAAAAACTTATACCCTTACTAATTTAGGGACAGCATTATTCACATACAATAGCTAAAAATATCTGTGGCATTAGAATAAAATTACATATTGTAATCTTTGAAAATTACTGATAATGGTACTTGATGTTTTTATAAACATGCTATTTTTGACGTGGATACGTCTATGTTTTCGTTCTACAGGAGGGTCATTCTGTGAGCAGGAGTATATGCACTAACGCCATCTATTGGCGTATAAGTGAACTATGCTTGCTCTGCAGGGGGAGGGGCATTCTGTCAGCAGGAGTATATGCACTAACGCCATCTGTTGGCGCTAGTGAATGCTTTTTTCATTCAACAAATGAACGCAAAGAATATTTATTTAGTGTTTAGTGTCTTCAATTTGTTTATTTTATTTTTTTTAATTATTCATTTATAAATGCAATTATGCCACAACGTTGCATAATTCCGGGTTGTTTTTACTTAATTCTTTATATAAGTTTATTTTTACAAAGAAACAAATATGGGTAGAATAAATAAATGTAGGGTGCTTTGTTAAAAGCAAAAACGCACTGCAAAAGTAAATGGTATCGAAAATCATAAAAATCTTTTTCAACCGAATTTTATCGAATCCCATCTTAGTGTATCTGGAACTGGTGAATTTTTTAAATATCAACAATAATGTTGATTTAAGAAATATAAATATATTAGGCATTTTAAATACATTCGTAAAACTAAAATTATGTTGCCTATATTAAATCAAACAATTGCTATAATATTATTAGTTAATTCATGTTAAATAATTTCATATTATAGAAGATTGTTTACTAGAGTCGACAAAACTATACGATGAAAATCAAACTAAAACTCTTTTAATTTTTAGAATTTCAATTAGCTATTAGAACGATTTCAGCGTTTGGATATTTATTTACATAAATTGATTTTCATTATTGTAATCGATTATCTTGATTCACTTTTTCCAGATGAAGTAGAAACTCATCCCTAATTCTTACTCGCTCGCTCTTGATTTTTTATCAATTACTCATATATCCATTCATACATAGACCAACATAGACGTATCCACGCATAAAATATGGCTGTTTTTCGAAGTTTTGTGAAAACAACTTTAAGCGATTACAGAGATAGACTAATCGGTGGCGCCATTTCGTAAACAAATTTAGTGCCGTGTAAGCAGAGAATTAATATGTTAAATGAACTTTACGAGATCAGTTGACTGTATTATATATAAGAAAAAACGCGTGGTGTTGTTTCTTTGAGCAGAAATATTTTTCCCTTAGAATACTTCTTTTTTTTTATTTATGACACAAACAGTCATTTCAAATTGCATTAAATGCGAAAAAGACATTGAATGTCACTTAATTACTTCTGTTAATCTTCTATTTATTCTTTATTATTACTTCTGTTATTAAATATTTATCTATACTTATCAATTGTCTAAAAAAATTTTGATAATGCAAACAAATTTCCAGGCAAACTTTCATCCCCTATTTTTCGCGATAAAATGTAGCCTATGTCCTTTCTCAAAGTTAAGTCTATTTACTATATTAATTTCCATTATGATAACTTCAGTTGTTAAGGCGTCTAAGCGTAACAACACTCATTTATCTTAAGTTATCGATACTCTAAAACGATTCTAAAATCTAGCTAAGTATCGATACTAGAACCATACGCTGATCAAATTAGAACTATACCGAGTTTGCCAAACCATATGCAGTGATATTTACCAACTAAATTAAATCATCATATAAAATGTAGCATTTTATAATCTACAATAAATATCGATTATAAGTTTATTGGAAATTAACAATATAGCTGAAATATATTTCGATTATACACAAATCGATTATTTTTTCCAAGCCTATTCTTTATGAATTTTCCGGATCGCGGACACAGCAGTGCACAAGCGTAAACACGTTTTTCATTGCCGCCATCACGGACCTGAAAAAACCGGTCCGGAATAGAGAAAAGTAAAATCCCGGACGGTTAAATTCCTGACAGTGCACAGGCTAGCATTACCTTTATATGGCCTGACATATCGGACCTGAAAAAATCGGACCGCCGGACATGAAAATTCAGTGTAGTGCACAAGCGCCCATAGGGACAGGGAAAGTTACTTTGTTTTATACTATATAGTGAAATGGAATCAATAGAATTTATACACTGTGACGCGAATTCGGACAGATCAGTAAATTCGAGTTCTTGTTCGCTCCCCTGGTGGTCCAAAAGTGGAAGGCAATGAAGAAGTTTAAACAAAACATTAGTTCCCGAAATCAAACTAGATGTCGCTACGGTACTTTCTTGATTTCTCCATGAGAACTTTTCCGGTTTTCTTTCATGTATAAAAGTAAAATAGTTTTCAAAACTCGACAAACAACTCGTATTTTATTTGAACTTTTTCGTATTTCTAATGATATCTAAGTTACGAACTTTGCAAATTTCAGGTTTTTAATATGTTAGTTAAAAAGAACGGAAATGACTATCTTTGGTCCAATCGTTTCCAAAAAATGAAAAGCACTAGATGGCGACTCTAGCAGAAATTTATTTTTGCTAACATATTAAAAAACATACGTATATACATAAAAGATACACGCGAAAACAATAACCGTTCCTTTGCAGACGGATAAAATAAACGACTGACTGATTATAATTTCAGGTTCGGTCGAAACTGAGACTATTGCCGAAATTCAGTTTCGGTCGTAAAAACCAGTTCAGGTCGGGCACTAGTTACAACATGATGAAACGTGTAATATTCCAACGCCAGCAATAATTGTACTTACGTATAATAATATAAATTATGTGATGCTGCTGCCGCCGTACCGCCCAATGTTTTTACCAAGCAGACTTAGTTTACATGTAGTGATATCTTAAAAAAAATGTATTTTACCTATCTATCTACCTTTTTAATAAAAAACATTGTTAAATACATTCTCGATTTATTATCAATGTACATATAAAAATAGTTAATCACATATTTTATTTAAAATAAACATTTAATTTAATCCATTTATACATCAGACAGTGCAAGCCTTAACAAGTTTTCGAGTTCTAAAGATTTCTTTTTCTCATTTTCTATTTGCTCTTCCAACTGTTTGACAGCCTCTGAGCAACTATTATACCTAGATATACTCTCATCAGTAGCTTTAATATTTTCTTCCACTATAGTACTATCTTTGTCTTCCAACATTAAATACTCTGTTGAATCCATTGCAATTTTTCGCCTTTTCGCTTCAATCAGGAAATCTAATTCATCATCAACATCATACTCTATAGCCTTGTGTTTTAAATTAGATATGACATCAATATCATATAGCCAGTTTGTACTACGATAGTCTTCCAAAACAGACTTCTCGTAAATAGCGTATCTATTATCAAAGTTATTCAGCCTCCTAATCTTTTCATAGACAATTATGTTTAAAATGTCTATGAGATCGTACTGAGCAAAGTATTGACTAAATTCATCACAAGGCATGTCCAAATTAGAAAACTCATTAGGTAATAATGCAACAACTCTACATGTAACTTCTTCTGGATTTTCAAACCAACCAATTTGGTAACAGTATTTACGAATTTCTTGTTGCATGTCCGTCACGCTTAGAGGATTAAAACCTGATACTGGGCAGGGCAATTTTAACTGTTTCATGATGTCTTTAATAGCTGAAATATTTTCAGAGGTCTTCACATTGCTAGAAATAAATTCATATGGTTTAGGATATGGGGATTCACTATCCAAAAATGCTTTGAACTCTAGAGGAAATGATGGATAATTGAATAAATCCTCATTTGTAATGACATTTGTTAATTTATCAACAGAATTATTATAACAGTTCACCAATTTCTGTAAATCTTTAATCACCATCCTCATACGACTATCTCTTTCTGATTTTAATGTACACCAAATTTCATTGCCAAGGTATCTCTGACAAATAGATTTAAGCCAATCTATTTCAATAGGCGGATTCTGGGGATATTTTTTCGCTAGCCATTTTAAAGCCGTTTTCGTAGCAAGGTTTAATGATTCAAATACATTTTTAGGCTCTATGATGAATATTTTATAAGCTGAAATTGCTTTATTGTTAACTAAATTAGTCAATTGAGATTCCAAAATGTTGTAAGTGTCTAAATCTTCAGACTTTGGTACAATCATCGCTACAGGCACAATTTGGTATGGGTATTTTAATTTAACAAATGATTCTATTGTTGATGATAGATTATTATCACGTTCTGTAGTGTACATCAATAATCCATTAGACCCTTCTAATGCTTCGTTGCAAGTATTCATTTTATCTTTATCAGTTAAACTTACAGATATGGCAAAGTCCATCAAATAATTCCATGATTGTTTGCCAACATGTATTAGACTATCAGAAGCAGCATGTCTTTTTTTATCACTAAAGACATCTAGTAACCACTTTTCAATATTAACTTTTCTATAAAGCCATTTCATTGTACCAGGAGAAACTAATGTTATTTTCCAGAAGAAGCATTTATCATATGGGTAATTAATTTGCTTCATACGTTTTAATAAAGAAGATCTTATTATTTCCATCAAGTTGTAAGGTTCCGGAGTAGGATGAAGTTTTAATTCCCCATTAAATTTGTAACCCCTATGAAAGGCATTCATGTTTTTTAAAGCAGTGTTTTCAACCATGCGTCTTAAATAATTTGCTTCCTCTAAAGGAGTTTTCGACGTCAACCAGACTGGTGTATCTTCCAAAAGGTCTCTTCTTTTAATGTTTTTTACTAATTGGTCTCTCCAAATTTTGAAAAACTTTTTTCTAAGTTTATTTGCCCAAAACTGTTCAGCTTTTATTTCTATGTTGCATGTTTCAATATTTATTTCGTTTATTATTGTTTCTGTTAATGTATCAGCATACAACATCAAATTATTAAAATTCTCCATTTCTTCTTTCATATTTTTTGACACATTATCATCACATAATTCATCGATAAATTCATCAACTAATTCTATGGATTCTTTGTCGACTCTTTCTCTGAACTTTCTCTCTTCTTCTTCAGCTTTCCTTTTAAGTTCAGCTTTCTTTTCTTCTTCAATTTTCTTTCTCAACTCTTCTTGTTTTCTTAGTTCTTCTTTTCTACGCTTTTCTTCAAGTCGCTTTAACTCCTCTCGTTGTTGTCGTTCTTCCTCCTGCCTCTTTTCTTCTTCCTCTCTTCTTAATTTTTCCTGTCTAAGACGCTCCTGCTCTTCCCGTTTCAAAGCTTCTTTCCTTTTTTCTTCTTCTATGGCCATCTGTTCCTGCAGTTTCCTTTGTTCTTCTTTAATCTTCTCTTCATTATAACGCTGTTCTGCCATCTCTTTAGTTTCCCCTTCACTTTGATCAAAGTCGTACACAGATCCCTTTTCTATAACAGAACTGAATATATTATGAGCCACTGTTGGAGCTTTGTTTTTATTTTGAAATATTGAGTAAAACTTATTATCTGATCCATTCTGTGGTACCACAGCATTTTTGAATAAACTTCCAGGCGACAATTTATTACTAGGAACATCTCCATTTGAAGCAAATATAGATTTTCCGACCGAACCAGTAATTGGTTTTTGAAATATATTATCTTTTTGCTTAATTTCAGTCTGTTTATTAAATACTCCAAATATATTTGGCGTTTGTTTTTCTCCCTCAAAGGCGGATTTGGTAAAAATATTATTAGTAACACCAAATTTCACAGTACTATCAGGTTTTGCAATAGTAGTATTATCCTTTGCTGGAGCAAAAATATTATTGACCGCTTTATTTTGTGTATCAAATGTAGAAAATATATTTTTAGCAAGTTCCTGTTGTTTAAAGACATTCGTAGTTCCACGGTTTTCAGATTCTTGCTGTTGGAATAAATTCGTAGCGTCAACTTTTTGCTCGAATACACTGGATTCTACAGGTTTACTGAATAAATTTTGCCCCTTATTAAATGGATCTTTATTTTCATCATTTTTGGCAAAAATATTTTTGCCATCTGGTTTCATATCAAACGCTGCTTGTTCACCAGGCACTTTAAATATGTTTTCAGTATTCTTCACAGAGAACAAACTAGAACCCAAAGACTCTTGAGGCTTCGAAAACGAAAATATATTTTTGATATCACTACCAAATATTTTTTCTGGAGAATTTTTTATTACTTCCGTTGATGCTACTGGTATGGCTGGTTTAAATGAAAATTGCTTGTTGGCACTTGTGGGTAGTGTAAATGTATTTAGAGGTTTACTAGGGCTCAACGTCTTTGGTTCTGGTTTTATAGATAAAGTTACCTTTTGCTCTTTTTTATTGTCTATAATATTAATTTTCTCTCCTTGACCAAGTTTATTTATCTCAGCTTTCAATGCTTGAACATCTTTTTCACTATCATTCTTTGTATCATAACCTTGGTCTTCAGCGAGCAAAGCTGATTCTTTTAGTTTGCCGTCTTTAGTAAAACTAGAATATAAGACGTGATTCTTAAAATCAGGATTTGGCAAACGACCACCCGCAATTACTTCACCAACTGTATTCGTCCTTTTAGATTCAATAAGTGACACTGCTCTTGCGATAGGATATGGGTCACTGTCTTCTATAAATTGATTTCTATCAAGTATTATTGTTAGTTCAGTATCATCTGTTTTAGCGAATCTCAATCCATAATGGTTAATGAAACAATGCATATTTTCTATCGATTCAAAAGCGAGAGCTTTCATCATATCTTCAGCGGGAAACCTCGAGCCGCCTCTAGGAGCATACGCTTTAACCATTCTAGCTAAAGCCCTCGCTCGGACATCATTAAAATACCGTAATAATATACACGCTTGCAAATAGGTAGCTCTATGTTCGACTAAACGGAAAAATCGTACATAATTATTATTGTCTATGGCGTTGAATACCTGCGTAGCAAACACTAACGGTTCCGACTTTTGAATTTCGGGAGGTAGTTGTTTTATCTGGAACAATTTAAATGACTTATGTTAAGGCTTTTAAACATATTTACTTATAAAGAATATTAAGTGAAGGAAAGACTTAGTACCCCTTTGGAAACTTAGTGAGTTTGACACTTTTGATTACTAAATATCAAATTCTATGAAATAGTCTTTCATAATGGAACAATGTGAATGTTTCTATAATCATTAGTAAAAATATCACCAGAAAAAGGAATTGATTTTACCTCCCACCAAAAGTTTGCATCGCCCAAGTTCAATAGAGCTATGTAGCCTCTGAACTCAGCTTCGTTAGGTTTCTGGTCTGGTGTAACATCGGCGTACATGTGTTTTAATGTCTGCAGACATTTAGTAAGATTGTCTGTGTTTAACTTTTGATCGAATTGAGTGTGTTCCAGATCTGCAAGTCTCGCCGCACAGTGAGCATGGAAACGAGCACACATCTCAACAAGTTGAATTGATTCTGAAACAATTAGGGGTTTATTAAAGACAGAAAGCTCATGATAGAAACAGGTATGGGATTTGTAATGGTTGAATCAGTATGTCAAAGTTTTAAGACTTATTGTAGAGCTAATGAGTCAATGAGTATTATTTTTTTAGTACCTGCACAGCACAGCGCTTGTTGAGTAATGTCTTTCCGAATGCTCCGTAAACGATCCCACATAAAATGAAACCAATCAGCAAGCGATACCTGAAAAAGGTCATATTGGTTTAATAAATATTGTGTTCCACATGAAATACTTTTACGTATTAGACTTTTGTACTCTATGTCAACAATTAATAGATATTATCTACTAATCTAATCCACCGTTACATTGTAATAATTATTAGCTCATGCATGCATATTCAAGTTCCATTTAGTAACGAATTATCCTCTAGGCAAACTAGATCCGAGCTTAGGATAGCATTACCCAATTATTTATTACACTCATTTGTGACAGTGACAAAAGTTTCCTAAAAAAAAATCCCTGATAATATATTTTAACTCAAATTTCAGTCTTCTATGGCAATATTTGCTAAAGATTCTTCTAACCTGTCTGGTGGTATCGGCGATTTCGTGTAGCAAATATGAACAAGTGCGCATGAGTACAGCAGCGGGTCGTAGCTCATAGCACATCGGTATCTCCTGGTCGGCAGAGCTGCGACTGTACTGTTTCACAGATCGCCACGGTTCCAACTGACCATCAGACTCTAGCACCGTCTCCAATGTCATCACCTAAACGTATGATCAAACAAAATATTGTACATTGTATTTACAAGTAGAGCTATTCATCACCACCAGCCTTTTTACATCCTCATTACAGGGGTCCAGGCCTCCCTTATGGTTGGTTAAGGAGGATGGGCCATGACACATTGGCCCAATGCAAATTGGAGGGTTTTAACGACTGCACATTCAGCCGGGATCAGCTCAACGTGATCTAACAATGACCGCAGGCCACGGTGCTTATCAAATACGCCACCGAGCTCTTAAAACCTATGTCGGGAACTTTATGATGCTCAATTCCACTCTACTGCATTAAAAAATACTTAAAACTAGAGTAGCACAGATGACTGAATAGTCCAGATATATTAAATGTTAGTTTAAAGAGGATAAACCCAGTACCTCGCAAGACAATAAACTGTACACTGCGATTAAAAAAAACCGACTTCAATCAGCTTAAAAATTTACAATCTCATACTTCTCTAAAAGTAGTTATACTTTATTAAAATCGAGTAGTTGGTATAAAACTGCAACTGAGTTCGTCATGTACTATCCTATCATTATCATAAGTAGCAACCTAAAATAAAAAGAGCTAATGGAATATGAAACCACACATTTAAATTTTACTCACTTGGTGTTCCGCCTGCCTATGTAATAGTTCCTTCTCCGGACACATGTCTTGACAGGTTCCTATAGTTGCTCCTCCTACCTTCACACGCGACCCTGCACCTCCCCATCCTCTTAAAATCCTAAAATTAGAAACAAATTTAATTACACAATACTATTTAAAAGTCTATAAAACAAAATTTGAGTTTATATAACAGTTCAAAGTATATTGTATGCATATTGAGTTACCATAAATCTTTGCAATAAAATGTATCAATTTTTGTTAAAAGTCTTGATTAAACTTGGAACTTGTATTATACCATTAATTCAAATTAACGTTAAAAAGTAAAACTAAATAAATCTCCTTACTTGTCTCGTGCTTCTAATGTTCTCCACTGCTCATCAGGTGTTAATGAAACCCTAAATCTCAATTGGTGCAACTCAACAGCGGCCTCTGTAGTACTGAGGCTAGTCTGCACAGTAGGCACTTGAACTTGATTTTCTACAACACTGGACGCTTGATTACTGGGTTGTTTGCTGCAATAAAATAAAAATAAGTATGTGTGGGTACTTGAATATTAAAGTAGTTATGCTTTGATCTCAACGGGTGTAGTTTCTTTTAGTGGCGACTTTGGAAAATGTATGTTTTGTTACGAATTATGACCTCAAATATCGCAAATATAGTGTTTCCTGGACAATTTAACCCTAAAACCGATAAGTGGAGTGAATACAAAGAAAGACAACTTTGTGCATTAGATGCTGCGGGTGTGACTGATACTGACTGGAATAAGCGCGTTCATTATTCCTTTCTCAATGCGGCAAAGAAACTTACTTTACTTTCATGACATTTCAACAATTTTGGACAAATTTTATGAACCCGAAGTAAACGAAATACTACAAGCAGGGAAATTCCATAAACGTCAACAAAACCAAGAGGAAAGCGTGCAAGAATATGTGGCGGCTATCGGTTTATTAGGCGCAAAATGTAACTTTGTAGATTTAAAGCGCCAGTTACGAGATAAGCTAGTGTTAGGTGTACGCGACGATCGTCTGCGTCGAGAACTATTGAAAGTCAAAGAACTCACTTATGAGATGGCTGTACAACAGTGCCTGAATTATCAGACGACGTTTTGTGATTTGTACCCAAACAAAGCTAACTGTATATTAGTAGTCAAACAAAGCTAACTCTGTCTATGGTTACTGAACCAATGGAAATTGGTAGAATAAAGTCAAATGAGTGTCGTCATTGCGCACAGAATCATAGTGACGGTGAACAATGTCCATTTATTAAAGCAAAATGCTTTTATTGTAAGAAATATGGACATATAGCGTCTGCTTGTATGAAAAAACGTGCAAAAGTACATCAAGTGCAGTATGATAGTAAAGAGGCTCATTCTAATACTTCTGAAAAGATGATGGGGGTTTATGTATGCTCTGAAATATATAGTCATCCTATCACAGCCGTGGTATACCTTAATGGTGCTCCTGTGACTATGGAGGTGGACTCCGAACTCCGAGACTCCGAAGAACAATAGTTTCCGAAGAAACTTTCAGGAAGTTGTGGCATACACTGCCTCCATTGAAATCTACCAATATAAAATTAGTAACATGGACTCGAGATCCGTTGAAGGTGTTAGGAGCTACACATGTTCTAGCATCACTAGGCAATAAAGAAGCTCAGTGTGAACTATTGGTTGTGTCTGGCGAAGGCCCTAGTTTACTTGGTCGAAACTGGTTTTCAGCACTAGATATTGAAATATTAGGAATTTGCTGGAATGACCTTGAAATAGATTGTTTAATTAAAAAAATTCCTAGTTTGTTCAGTGAGATGCTTAGTGAATATAAAGGCCCAGAAATATCTTTACATGTACGGCCTAACCCAAAGCCGCGTTTCGTTAAAGCTAGTCCAGTGCCGTTTCCTTTAATACGCCAAGTTAAAGAAGAATTGACTTGAATGGTGGAAGCTGGTATCCTCACTCCTGTGAGATATTCAGAATAGGCGACCCCATTAAGGCTAGTTAAGAAAGATGACGGTTCGCTTTGTATATGTGAAGATTACCGGTCAACGGTGAACACAGCTATTGAAGTATCAACACTTATCCACATCCAGCTGCAGTTGAGTATTTTGTTCAGCTTAGTAAAGGCCGTATATTCAGCAAAAAAGATCTAAAATTAGCTTATATGCAATTGAAAGTTGATGATGCAACTGCTAGACTATTAACACTTAATACTCCACTTGGACTAATGAAAATGAACCGCCTAGCATTTGGTGTTAATGCGGCACCAGCTATTTTCCAGAGGGTCATGGCGAATGCGCTATCTGGACTGGGAGGAGTAGCATGCCTACTTGATGACGTAGCCGTTTCTGGACGAAATAAAGAAGAACATAATCAGCGACTGTATGCAGTACTCACAATATTGAACGAATTGGGGTTCCATCTTAATATTACGAAATGTGTTTTTGCCACAAATAGTATTCAGTTTTTGGGTCACATAATTGATGCGAATGGACTCCATCCGTCGCATTTGAAGGTCCAAGAGAAAAAAAAACAAGCCGGCACCACCAAATAAGGAGACATTAAGAGCATTTTTAGGCTTGTACAACTTTTATGAAAAGTTTATTCCAGACAAAGCGATTCTATTGGAGCCTCTGTATCGCTTGTTAGAATCAAAAAGACCTTGGACTTGGGGTGCATCAGAAAATACTGCATTAGAAAGTGCTAAAGAACTGTAATTACTACTAAAGAAATTACTACTGATATGTGACTCTTCGAGTTATGGCCTCGGTGCTATTATAGCACATGTGATGGACGATGGATCTGAAAAGCCAGTCATGATGGCTTCAAGAACTTTACAACCTCATGAGAGGAAATATGGGCAAATTGTAAAGAGGCCCTTGCTATTGTTTTTGGGTTAACTAAATTTCGCGAATTTTTGGTTGTTCGAAAATTTCTTATCATTACCGACCACAAACCATTGGTTAGTTTATTTAATCCTACTAAAATAATTCCTGATCAAATCTCACCCAAAATGTTGCGATAGGCTTTGAAGCTCAGTTTTTATGAATATGATATTAAATACAGACCTGGATTTGGGTAATGCTGATGCCTTGAGTAGGTGGACAATAAATAATACTGCTATTGAATGTGAGAAACCAGTAAAGGAAGTACTCTTGCTTGAGGAACGGCCAGAAGGCTGGACAATTGATGCTTTAAAAATTGCAAGGGAGACTAACAAAGATGGATTTCTACAAAAGGTCTTGTTCCATGTGCTCCATGGGTGGCCACGCTCTAATAATGACCCAGATCTGCGACCATTTTGGTTAAGAAGAGAGGCTCTTTCACTTAGTAAAGGTTGTTTACTGTGGTGTAATAGAGTCATTGTGCCGAGATCGCTTCAGAGTGAAGTGTTAAAGTTACTAGATGCTGGAATTCTTATGTCCAAATTAAAGCATTTTCTCGAGGATATGTATGGTGGGCCGAGATGGATCAGCAGATTGAGCGTTGTGTTACCGAATGTGAAGAATGTCAAGCGGTTAGAAATAATCCACCTAGGAATCCTCAAACTTGAATTGCAACTGAGAAAGCTTGGAATCGTCATCATGTTGATTTTGCGGGACCATTTCAAGGAAAGACTTTCCTGGTTTTGATAGACAGTTACAGTTAATGGTTTGAAGCGCGAATAGTAACTTCTATGTCCAGTGAAGCAGTTATAGCTATTCTTAGGGAAATATTTTTATCACAAGGTTTACCAGATACATTGGTTACGGATAGTGGCAGAAATTTCACATCTAGAGAATTTAACATGTTTTTGACAAACAACGGTATTAAACATTTGTACTCTCCGCCATACCATCCAGCGTCTAATGGCCAAATTAAGAGAGCCATACAGACATTCAAAAATAAATTAAGAAAAATATCAACTTCGGATTGTCCTTGGAGTGTAAAACTACCTAGAATATTATATGCATTACGAACTGTTCCCAACAGCTGCAGAAATAAAACACCGGCTGAAATGTTGAATGGACGTCGATATAGGACAGCTGTGTCCTCTATACATCCTTGTTCAGCACGAACCCAAACAGAAGAGCAGCTTGAAGAAGCGGCAGAGCGAACTCCAACACGTTCGTTTGTTGTAAATTAACCTGTTTTAGCTCGCATGTATGTACCTGGCGAGAAGTGGCAAAGAGTTCATATTGAATTAGTTGAGGGTCCTAGCTCATATATGGTGGGAACGGAAGATACTGCATCGTCGGCATGTCGATCAGCTTTAAGCTCGAGCTGTAGGACAAGGACAACCGTCACAGAATTCTACACCACCACAAATTGCTTGCAGCCCGAATGAATCAGAATCATCGGCAGTTCCACCGATAATTATCCCGCCACCTGAACAATGGCCTGATATAATTGGCATTCCTAATTCATATGATTGATTGTTAACATTAGCTTAAGCAGTAACTTTAATTGTATTACACTGATTTCAATTATGAAGGAAAAGTATATTGTGGTAGGGAAAGGTATTTGATTATTATATTGACAGAGGTAAATATCACAGTATGTGTGGGTACTTGAATAATAAAGTAGTTATGCTTTGATCTCAACGGGTGTTGTTTCTTTTAAATAGAACAATTATATTAGTTAACGGTGGCTCTTACATTATTTGTCATACTCTAACCTTACCAAATCAAATATGATTAAATATGCTTCTCGGTTTTTTTTTTTATTTCCACAATGCATTGTGATTGAATAGCATAACAGCAACAAAGTGGATTTTGCAATGTGGTTATTCTGTGAGTGCCAACGCGTCGTGACTGTTTCCTTAACACGAATTTTGCTATGTGGACATTTCTCTGTGATCGCAACACATTGTAAACAATTTTTTTGCTCAATGAGCATACTCAAACTTTGAGTGTAACACACACATACACAATTTATGAATTTAAAATCCCAGCAACTTAGATATAGTTAAAATACTTATTTTATACTTACATGCTAGGATGATAAGCTACTGCAATCTTTTTCTTGACTACTGGTGGACTTACTGCCTTCGCAGCTTTTTGTGGCACTTTAAGTTTCTTCACATCACCCTCACTTAATCTTGCTGCATTAAATAAGTAATTGTTCATTTATCAATTATAATTAGTATTATAAAAAAATGAAAAAATGTAAAACTATTCAAGTTTAACCAAACAGTTTCAATGTTGCAGATATTGTCATTTTCTGAACTTACTTTGTTGGCGTGTTATTTTGTACCATGGTGCACCACTCATAGCAGACAACTCTGCTTCAACATCAGAATCAGGGACCCAATCTGGATCATCATCTTTCTTACTTTGTCTCCTCCTAAAATTTCAATAGTTCTTATATTTTATGGAAAAAAAAATAAACAAGTTATTACAATTATTACAATATAAAGTAAGTTTAAAACAAACACAAAATATTTTTTTTTACTTTACAGAAACAACAGAATTGGCTCATGATTTTTAAATTTGTATATTATAACAATACTAGCTTTCTACCAGCTGCTTCACCCGCATAGTCCTATATTACAAACATATTGTTCTTGAATTAATCCGAATATTAATGAAAACCATTAAGCTGCTGTTTAGTCTAAAAGATCTCAGCATACAGACAATGACACAAACAAAGATACAGACAATGCGTAAAAGATCTCAGCATACAGCATGAGTAGCTCAGTGGCGTAGTGGATAAGCGCCGCGGCTCGCGATTGTAGTCGTTAAGCAACTTTCGCAAGGGTCGGTCACGGGATGGGTGACCAAAAAAATATTATCTCGAGCTACTCCGTGCTTCAGAAGGCACATTAAGCCATTGGTCCCGGCTGCATTTGCAGTCGTTAATACCCTCCAATCCGCATTGGGCCAGCGTGGAGGGTCATGGCCCATCCTCCTTAACCATCCATAAGGTAGGCCTGAGCCCCTGCAGTGAGGACGTAAAAGTATGTAAAAATGTTATGGTCCTTACGTTCGAGGTTTTGATCTAGTGACATCAAACATAAATCCATCATATGCCCCTGCATTAAGCACTGCTCTCTCTACAGAGCTTGGTAGGTCATATTCAACAATACACATTTGTCGCTTGGGGAACAACTGGACACGTTGGAGACGACCAAACTTGCTAAAGTGTTTTTTTGCAGCAGACGCATCAAACAAACCATCAGGAACATCAGAGCACCTAAGGCAAATTAATTATTATCAACGTGAGACTAAAATTTTAAATACACCAACCACTTACGCAAAATGGTGATACTCACGTAATGGACAATTTTGGGTTGATGGGAGTTGAATCTACAGCCGGACTTTTAACCTTTTTTCGGGGACTCGTAACTGGTTCCATTTTTCTGTTAATAGTCTTGATCAACGACGCTGTTATTTATAAACTCAGTACACGAGGTCATGAATGCTGAATAACAAGCTTCTACCACTACATTTATTACATTATAAACCGTGAATTTAACACAGAAGTGTATTCTTTTTATTTTACAGTAACTATCACAAAGACAGACAAGCAAAAAACTACCACTATTTATTTTCACAGCAGACACAGACCAAGAATGACAGCAGATAATTATTACCACAGAACAATAATCTAGAGATGCATTGAATAGTTAATTAACCGAATAACCGAATAGTATTCGTTTTAACTTTTACCGAACTGGATAATCAAGCGAATTTTCCGGTTGTCCATTACGTTATTTATTTTTATGTAGCCAGTGGCTAAGTGCTCCTTACAAAATAGCAAACAATGATTTCGGAAGCAGAGACCTATACAAGGAAAAAATTTTTTTTACATAAATAGTAACGACACCACTCTTTAAAAAGGATGGTTTACTATAGATTATTAATGAGGAAGTATTTAAAAACGAAAGCACTAAAGAAGCACCTCCACTAGATGGCGACTCTAGCAAAAGTTGATTTTTGCAGAAAATGAATGGATCGAAGACAGTCATTTCCGTTCCTTTTACCTAACCTTCCTTTTACCTAACCTACTATTGAAAAGTTGAAATTTGAAACTCGAAACTTAGATAGCAAATACAAATACGAAAAAGTACAAATAGAATATGAGTTGTTTATTGAGTTTGGAAAACTAATTTACTTTTAAACATGAAAGAAAACCGGAAGGATTGTCATAGAGAAATCAAGAACGTACCATAGCGACATCTAGTTTGATTTCGTGACCTATTTTTTTTTATATTTCCTCATTAAATAACATGACATCTAATGGATATTACTTAAGTATCCGATAGATGTCACTATACTTTTTTTCTAAAAATAACAGGTCTAAAGCTGTGCAAGGATTGCCAGTCGTGATGAAGGCTATAACGTGAATTTAAATAGACTAAATTAATAATATATTTATTTATAAAAAAAAGTCCATCCCCGTACAACAGTAACAACAAAATGCTTTAATTGAGTCAACTGGCGCAGGTTTGAAATATTAATAACTGTACAACAGTAAAATAACAAAACGTTTTAGTTGAGTCAACTGGCACAGTTTTTAACCAATATTTGAACTTATTATTATCATAGTTCTCCCATTCTGTTCTGTAATGTTGAACGTAGATCTCCTTTTTTAAACGGAACATCTGTGAACGGAACTTCCATGTTATTGTGATACTCAACAAAAACACTGATAACCCAAATAGATCACTGAAAATATCATTAATTTTAATTAGAATTATATTTGGCTCACTCATTTTTACTTTGTATAAGTGAGACGAACAATAAACGAAATATTGGTAGAAGTCGCCAATACTATAACTCAATAATATCCTAGAATCTGCAAAATATTTTTTCCCGCTAAAACTAAATTTTTTATGCGCTAATGTTTAACGGCAACACTGGCAGAGTAGATCTAGATCTACCATTTTAACCTAGGTTAAAAACAAATTTTAAAAAAATCAGAGAGAGTTAGGGATTCCTTTCTATCATTATCATTCATTTATTGACAATCGATATTTATTAAATCGAAATTCGATTTAAGAATCCAGTTTTGAAAACAAATAGATAAAAATGGATCTTTACCATAATATTATACTTGATTATATTGATGTGTACATACCATAAAGTTAATGATTGTTACATAACATGTTCCTACTTTGATTAAAATCTGTCGTATAATCAAAGAGTCAATACTATTATCTTCGATCTGGTGTTTTAACATTATAGGTAGATGGCGTTACAATAATAATGTGGTATCGTCAAATGGCTATAAACTTTAATGATGTCATTTATTTTTGTTTTTTCTTCTTTTACTTATTGCCATCTAAATAATCATGAGGAAATATAAAAAAACACATCTAAATTGACCGAACTGCCTATGTCGGAATCATTTCTGCTAACAAAGTTAAAGTATATGAAAAAAATAGTTCTCGAAAGCAAACTAGATGTCACTACATGCTTTATATAAAGTAGTGTAAAATTAAGGTTTAACTTTGATACACAACCGTTTATCTTTCTGGTGTTATAAATGTAAATCAGCAAATAAATAAATAGGTTCTTTCTAGTATTTAAATACTTATGTATTAAATTTTACTTCTATTATTAACAGTTATTATTATGTGACCTGTAAAAAACCGCAAATTAGTGTTCATTATCCATTATGTACATATTGTTTCTGACTTCTGTTTTTACTTTACAGTTTAGAACTAACAGCATTACAAAAATTATTCAGATCCCAAATTCAGTTTCTTTTAGCACTTGTGTTATAGAAATCTGAAACCACAAATGATCTACTACAGCACCCTGACCAGAGACAATGTAAAAAACACAAAAGTTAAAAGTAGATGATGTGATGCAAAGTATATATTTTCGAAACTCAATATATTTTTATTATATTATCAAGAATATAAAAAGAACACATATCTTAAAGACCAGCATTAACAGTTCTGGCCCACAGGCTCTTTTCTACCTGAGTAAAAAAAATATCTATTTTTGTAATAGAAATATTTTCTAGAAACATTAAAAATTGACGTAAATTTTTCGAAGAGTAAGCTTTTTGGTTATCAAGGAAAAAAGACTCCTTGTTCGTAGTATACCGATGTTTAGATATTATTTATTTTTTATTATTTATTTATTTGAAAAACACGTGTTAATGTGAAATTTGGCAATGCATTTTGGCAGCATAATCAGTTATTTGCGTTAATATAAACTATTAAGTTGTAGCTATTTCCACTGGCACACATTCATTACTGTTCTTCGGAGACAAGTAATATTAATACTTTAACAGGTATTTTAAACTAACTTCTTTTCTTCTACGAAAAACTACTTACATAACTATCCAGTTTTGCATATTTTACGCATTTTAATGAATATCTGTCTAACATTGGTGCTAATTCTGCTGTATTATTCTCTAAAGTAATCTAAAAGTTCTAACTTTAATTGGGGTTTGTTTTAACATTAATCATAGTAATATGCATTCAATTTATAAAGGAGGTATCTGCCTTTGATATTTATCTATTTATTTATTATATTATTAAACTGGCATGCAGAAAAAAATATAATAGTAATTAAGGAATTACAATAATAATCATGGTATTAATCAAATGTCAAAACAAATCAATTCAATTTCATCAACATAAAAATAAGATTTGATAAAATTTATAATGTGCCAACTAATATTATGCAATTTTCATGCGTATAATTAACATTTCGTGTTGCATATCTGCATAGATTAACTCGGTGGCGTAGTGGATAAGCGCCGCGGCCCGCAATAGTTTTTGTTAAGCAACCTTCGCAAAGGTCGGTCACGGGGTGTATGACAAAAAATTATTATCTCTAGCTACTCCGTGCTTCGAAAATCACGTTAAGCCGTTGGTCCCGGCTGCATTTGCATTCGTACCCACTCATTTTATCCTCCAATCCGCATTTGGCCAGGCGTGGAGGGCCTATACTCCTAAACAATCCATAAAGAAGGCCTGAGCCCCGGTAGTGGCGAGGTAAAAGGACTGATAATGATCAGTATATGTTAAAGGTATATCTGCATATCTGATAAAATCATTTAACGCATCATGCTTATTGTCTATTATATGTGCTAGTGCATAAAGAAACATAAAAAATATAAAAAAACACGTTCCATACCCAAACGGTAAAACGAGAACCCTATCACTAAGACTTCGCTCTCTGTCTGTCTGGCATTAGGCTGCATCTCGTGAACCGTGAAAGATGGACAGTTGAAATTTTCACAGATAATGTATTTCTGTTGCCGCTTCAACAACAAATACTGAAAACCAGAATAAAATAAATATTTAAGGGGGCTCATACGACAAACGTGATTTTTTTGCTCGTTTGTGACACGCACTTGATCGGTCTTTTTTATAATGGACGCTGGAAAGCAAACACATAGTAACCTGCAAAACCAAAATGGATATTTAAAGTGGAAACACATTATATTATCCCAAAAAAATATTTCTTATATCCGTATAAATTGACTAAGGAATACCTTATTTGTTACCATGAACGTTTATAAGAATTATTAATGGAAAAAAAAGCTTTATATTAATGTATGTAGCTAATCATATTGATATTGATTCACAATTGAACTATTTTGAAGTGAAATCGTAACTCAAACGTGTCTTCTTTAGTCGTACATGCTCATTTTTTATATCATTCCGCTTTTAGACTTGCTTAGCATAAAGTTATAATACGAGACATGATGACATAACCGCACGGTCAGGCAAGGCAAACGAGTTCCGGTATAGCCGGATGTGAGTCTCACTTTCTACAACAAAGCACTTTAGGCAATTCCGAACTCTTGAGTAGCTAAAGCCCCTGAGACATCGAACATACCACAATACCCAGACCCGAGTCAAGATACCTGTAAATCGATCCATTTTCTACATTCACCCGACCGGGAATCGAACCCGGGACCTTAGAGGCCGGTGCGCACCGCTCGGCAAAGGAGATTGTCGTCTATCCTCGTTAACTCATTAATGTCTCAAGCTTGCCTCTTAGAAAGATCTTAATTTTTGTTTATATTATTCCATGCCTTTAAGCTAACTATGTAGTGATGCTCTCTGGTTGGTAGGAAACTATTGAAAATTACAATTTCATCGATGACACTCAATGCCTCGATTACAAAAAAATATTTTTTTGTGAAAAATTTGATTCTTTAATTTAAAGAATTTTGTAATCGAAATGATGTTAGAAAGTTAAATAAAACTGAAAACATAGTACAATACAGCATCACGTTATTCTTTCAATCTGGGGTTGTTAGAAGCAATAGGAACATTGAAAATGCCAATACCTTTTAGCGCTGAGATAATATAGGTCAATAAAAGGTTTTCTACTTTGACCCACTGGGAAGACTACTTCATAGAAGGTAGACGCCTTAAAAGCGACGTGCGAGCTACTGTACCATGGATATCGTTGAAATATTTTAATTATTGATCAACACATCATTATAAGATAAAAAATCTTGAAATCATTCTCTGGCTAAATTGACCATTATAATTTCATTCCAAAATCCAGCTGAGTCGCACAGTTTGAGATTGCAAGCTGAATCGTGCTCGCGCCTATGTTAATCCTAGTCGATGATGCGGTGAATCACCTCGTGACGTCATCGCTATAAA